CTGAGTCCACGAGACATCAACCCTCTCTTCAGGTGAAACCGGGCCGAGCTTTCGTCCATCATATGATGGACATCATTAGAGCTGGAACTCATTCTTGTAAGTCTGACGTTAACACGCTTCTTGACTTAGGCTTTAACATAAATGAGTTTCAGCTCTTCTGATGTCAATCATATGATGTACGAAGGCTCATTCTGTTTTACCCTAAAGCGAGGGAGGATGCCTCATGGACTGTGTCAATCTGAATGCCATATTAAAGCCAAACGTCGGCAGTACAACGGGATTCACCGTCGTCTTCTTGTGAGATTAACCTTCGAATCTCTTCTTCATGTACTTTCATTCAAAATGAAATTTTCACCCAAAACATATCATAGTACTTTTATTTCGTCATTTCTTAACCATTTTACATTTTTTAAAAATCTCTGGTCATAAAGGTATGTTCATGGAGAGTTTGTTTGAAAACTTTGAGTAGATCTTGGATAAAAACATGAATCAACTTAGATCGCTCAAAATGAATAGCGGGCGTCATGATGCCAACGAATTTTAATTATCATCGACTCGTTAAATGTTTTCTTATTTGGTCTGGACTGCATTTATGATCCCTCCTTGGTATCATCATCATATCTGAAGGGATTCGAAACTTGGTAGCGTCAAGCAATAAACTTGAAAATCCACCATACAAATGTTATTCAAGATTTACTGAATTTTAAGGCCTAATTTATTATCTAATTGATTTTAACATCACATTTAATGATGATGATAATGTGAGTTCTTTATAGTCTTTGATTATACTTTTTATAGTTATTTTTTGCATCTTGTTGTCTCTTCATCCTAGCTAACCTCAACTCTAATGTCCGTACTTGACTTAGACTCGGAGGTAGATGGTCCTTGCCCAGTATTCAAAGAGGATGCGCCATCGTCTACTCCTTTGATGCAGGCCAAGCATTTATACCTTGGAAGGCGTGGGTTGACAGGCATCGCATGTCTCGACCTCGCCGCTTTGGATTCAACAATCAATTCGGATGCGACTGTGGTGGCTAATCTACTTTCAAATTTAAGGAGGCGACATAATGACTTTGGGCCCGAGGAGAAGAAGTCCGACATCAATGAGTCAGCAGGCAATTATTCTTGCTTTCCATCTTCCTATTTTGTCAACCAAAACTTCGCCCCTGAAAAATTTATCCTTCCAGAGGCTCGATGGCTCTTATCGCCGAGTCTTAAATTCGTCCAAGTACGTTGCTTTATACACTTCTCTTTTTTGTCAATGCTATTTCCTTCTTCATTAATTACCCTCATATTAATTTAAAATATGAGCAAGAAGGACGACGAAGTGTGATTGTCAAATAAATTCATGGAAGTCACTTTTCGTGTAAGCGCTAACCCATGAATATAAAAGCAAAATAGGAACGCGAATTTTGCATATCTGCCATTTTCATTCATTAGTTTGCTCAGTAGGGCTTTCGTTTCTGCGTTTGGTTATAGTTTATAAGGACCTTAATTTTTCCGCACTTGTTCTTGGGCTTTCGCATTTATTGACTAGTTTAACTGCGCCTCCTACTATTTTTCATTTTAGACTTGACTACACTTCTTGTATTACCATGCTAGTCTTCAATGTTTATTACGCTGTACTTTTTTCTTCACATTCTCATTTCTTAGGCTAAAAGTTATCTGCCTTATCCAGTCCATATCATTATTCATTTATGCACATATGCACACATCGTGCATGCAAAAATGGACGTTATTACACATGTTGGCTGATAAATCAGGAACTTAGTGAGTAGGATGAGAAACTAGTTTTGGAAGATTTGAGTTATGTAATTGTGCCTTTCACTTCGTTTTAGACGAGATGATTTTAAACGCTCATACTTAATGGATCGCTTAATGGGAAACCGAAGGAATTTTCTTTATATTGAAGTTTTCAATATAAGTTTTGTAGGCTTCGCAATACCATCCTCCTACCCAATTGATTCTGCTTTGAACTTTCCACTGACAGATAAATGATATCATCAAAGCCAGGGACATATTACTTAATAAACTATGCAGACAGTTAGATGTAATATTACATGATATCAAATCAGAGACTTTTATTAAATCGAATTAGAAATATAAGGAAATTTTCTGCTTTAAAGCTCTTATGTGATGTCACTAAATCACTTACTTTTTTATCAACTCATACTCGTGATGAAGGATAAATTGCAACAGCAACTATTCTTCCTCATAGACCTTCACTTTCTGACAAACCTTGTTCTTTTTAGAAGTGGGTTGACCTTGTTATCGCAACCTGATCTTGTTTTCAGGGAGACTATGTAGAATGCACCTAGTCCAAAGTCGTCTCCCATAGTAGTTGTCATGATTTCCAGCATTTGAAAGTGGACTTGATACATTCTCAAACGTTTCGCCGGCATCGGAATCGGAATCATCAGTGAATGCTGCCAACTTCCACAAGC